ATTCTGGGGAGATCCACAGTATATATAGGGCAAGAAGCAGAAAAACAAGAACATTTGTTGCCAAGCTATGTTTGTGGTAACCACCCAGAAGCAATTTCAAGTAAATATCATGTAAATATCATAGGTGGAACAAAAGACAAACAGAACATAACTGGCTGAGTAAATGGTTACTTAAAGGAATGCAGAAACATTGTATGCAGAGATGCAGAGATATCCTGCCTTGGGGCAGGAGATGGCAGAGCAGATTTTAGCAAAATGGATGCCATGCAAACAGTCTCCCACAGACTAGTAGACAAAGTCTTTAAAACAGCTATTATAAAAATGTTCAAAGATTTAAAAGAAAAGTGAACTTAATAAGGAGCAAAGTGGAAATCTTTTAAATAAACCAAATAAAACTTCTAGACTACCAAAAAACTTCCCTGAACAGTTAGAGTCAAGAAAGATGAAAAGGACACCCATCTATATGGAAGGGTAACCCAGTGGATGATGTTGGAGCCAAAAAGTAATGAGGATGGTGTCTCTGAGAATGGGCAGCCAGAGTGGGATGTCAGAACCTGAGCAGGACAAGGAGTGTGAACCAAGGGAGGGAATCCCTGTGTATGATACTATGGGCCAAGTGGGATGTGGGAAGTGGCTATGGGGCAGGGAGAGGGAGTATATAGCATTGGGTAAAGAGCCTACACAGTATAAATAAGACATCCTCAAAGAGGGACAACCTAAGCGCCTGAGTAGGGTAAGGAGGGCATCTATGCAGAAAGGCGCTCAGTGCATAGGGTTTTTTTAGCTCAAAGTTAGGAAGGTAACTTCATAGGAGGAAAGGCAACTGGCACAGAATTTCAGAGCCAACGCAGTATGAGGAAGGCCTCTATATAAGAGGGTGACCTGATAAGGGATATCAAAGCCTAAGAAGGATGAGGAAGGTATCCACATAGAGAGGAGATAGAGGCAGAAATGTGTGTGACTGGTTTTACACAGCGGGAGTGAGCAAGTAAGAATATATGTTAAGAATAATAAGAGCTAGGATTCTCACTGTTGGAGAAGAACATTACAAATTGGAAAGGGAGAAAACTAGAAATGAGCCCTGTGGTGCTAAATTGGAACTAGAAGTATTCATGTGCAGTTCAGGTTTTCAGTAGTAAAGGTATGTAAATATGGAAATAAATGTGTATACATGTGTGCTACTTATAGTCTCTAGTTGTTATCTACTAAGAAAGCATTGGAGAAGTGCCTCTCCAATGGCAATGAACACAAGTAGTCCTCAAATTTGGTTTCTATGTACAATTTTTATTAAAAATGACTCAGGGAATTGCAGCAATGTGTGGCAAAAAAAAAGTACAAAGAGTGCCTAGGACATCATGCTGTGTTACAAAGTAAAGAAAGAGCTCAAAGGATGATGGTTGCATATCAAAAGGGCACTGAAGGCAACTGGAAAGGACTCCCACTGTCCATATTTGGAACAATTTGAACACCAAAATAAATAGTGATAGTAAAGAATTATACCCCATTGATTAAAATAGAAAGCCAGGAGTCTAGGCTAATGTAAATAAACTGACTGAGAATTTGATGAGGAATGGGAATATTTATATAATTTTAAAGTTAGTACCCACAAAATGCATATCAATTACAAGGAGAGGAGCTGAACAGTAGAGAAGCTTGGCAGACACCACCTCAATCAAGCAATCAAAGTGAACATCACCAGTCATGGGCAAATCCAAGTCCTGTGCCACTGATAACGATGCAGTGAAAGAAGCACAGCATAATGTCTGTGATATTTCTAAGAAAATAGCATAAGTTCAATACATTCTTGAGAAAATCTAAAACAAGTTTAGGTTGAGAGATACTCTACAATAAAACTGGCCTGATCTTCATGTCAAGGTCATGAAAACTAAAGAAAGACCAAGGAACAGTTGCAGACTGAAGACCAGGGAGACATGACAACCAGCTATGTGTGCTTCTGGACTGGATCCGTTTGCATCATTGGAACATTACTAGGACAAGTGGAGAAACCTGAATTTAGTCTGAGGATTTTGACGGCTGACACGGGGGATCATGTCAGCAACTTACTCTCAAATCGTTCAGGAAAAAAAGTTCTTTGTACTGTACTTACAACTTTTCTGTAAATTTGAGACTGTTGAAAATAAAAATAGCCTTCTTCTGCCGCTCCTGGTGCTGCTTATGTGCTCCTTTGGTGAGGACATGGTATCTCTTTTGTGAAGCAGCAGCTGAGGAGACTCTGGGCAACTCCCCACGGCCAAGGAAAAGCCCAAGGAAGGAGTCAAGACTGAGAACAACGATCATATTCATTTGAAGGTGGTGGGGCAGGATAGTTCCGTGGGGCAGTTTAAGATTCAGAGGCATCCCTGGCCAGCATGGCTCAATGGTCAGAGCATTGGCCTGCACATCCAAGGTCTTGGGTTCAATTCCTGGTCAAGGGCATGTACCTGGGTTGCAGGTTCTATCCTGGGCCCCAGTCAGGGCCCATGTGGGAGGCAACTAATTGATGTGTCTCTCTCACATCAATGTTTCTCTCCCCTCTCTCCACCCCCACCCCTACCTCCCACTTTCTTTCAAAATCAATGGAAAAAATATCCTCCAGTGAGGATTAATAACAACAACAAAAATTCAGAGGCATACACCACTTAGTAAATTAATGAAAGTATGCTGTGAACAATGGGGTTTGTCAATCAGGCAGATCAGATTCCAATTTGAGGTGCAGCCAATCAATGAAACAGACACACTGCACAACTGGAAATGGAGGATGAAGATACAACTGGCATGTTCCAGCAACAGACAGGAGGTGTCTACTAAATAGGGAACCTGCTACTTTACTCCAGAACTCTGTTCCTCCAGATCAAGGAGACATTCTCAGTAGGAAACCGCAATTTGGTCCCACCACATCCTGACTACTGCAGTATTGTTTTCTCTATTCTTTCATTTTCCCCTTCCCCATGCCTATTATATATAAAGTAACTGATGTATGTGCAAAAACAATCTATGTTCTCCCTCATTGATGTTTCTATCTCTCTCTCCCTTTCTCTCTCTGTCTAAATAAATAAAGAAAGAATATTTAAAAAAAAAATACACACACACATATATACACTAGATAAAGTATAATTGACTGTTTAAAGCAAAAATAATACATTATTTTGTAGGGTTTATAAATACATAGAAATAAAATGCATGGACATAATAGCATGAGGCACAGGAGAAGGAAAATGAAGCATACTCTTGATAAGTTCTTATATTATATGTGAAGTGGTAAAAAACTATTTGAAGGTATAATTTGTAATAAGTTAAAAATGCATATTGTAAACCCTAGAACAGCCACTGATAAACAAAGAAACAGTCAAAGGCATAGGAATTCAAAGACCAAAAACAGCTATATAACTGTAGGAAAGAATGTGATACGGCTTAAAAAAACAGCTAAGAATGACATATTAATATGACACAAAAAAGAGAAATAACTAGGGCAACAGCTTTATTACATAAAGCTTTAAAATTTCTCTCATCAGCCCTGGCCGATTTGGCTCAGTTGGTTCATCTGCCTGCAGACCAAAGAGTAGCAGGTTCAATTCTGTTCAAGGGCAGGTACCTCAGTTGTGGTGTGGTCCCCAGCCCTGGTTGGGGTCATGCTTGAGTCAACCAATTTGTCTCTCTCCCATCGATCTCTCTCTCTCTCTCCCTCTCTCTCTCTCCCTCCCTCCCTCCCTCCATCCCTCCCACTCTATCTAAAGATAAACAGACAAAAATCCCCGGGTGAGGATTTAAAAAAAAAAAGAAAAAGTTCTCTCATCAAAAGACTCCACCGGCAAAATTGAAAAGCATCAAATGTAGGGGGAGAAAATCTCAAAATATAATCCAGGCAAAGGGTAAGCAAAGAGCTATTACAAACTGGTAAGAAAATTATAGGAATTAAAAATTTAAAAAGAATAAGATATGAGCAGGTAATTTATAAAAGTGAAGAATGGACAAAGATATCTTTATCCTAACTCCATGCTATACATAAAGTGCAAGATTAGGTATAAACATAGACACAGACACAGACATAGATATAGACATATAGATATATAGATCTTGTCCCCAAAAATAACTTAAGTTCACTTCTGTACATGTAAAAGGGTATATTTAATACATGGGATTTTATCATAAAAAGCTGCCATCAACCTGAACAAAGTGTTATTGTACAACTCTTCTGCTATTTATTGGGTAGTCCCAAACAGTAGAAATTACTTATCTATCAAAATAGGGCAGAATATAACCAGTATTTGGAATTATGGCTTATTTTTCTGGAATCAATTCAACAAGTTGGAAGACATAGATACATGATTCTTGTTTTTATGAATGCATAATTTAAGAAAGAAAAATGATATGCATGAATATTTTAACTAACTGAAAGTTGGAATAAGACCCATGCACATTCCAGACTGGAGGCATAACATTAAGATTAAAGGAGTAGAAATTAGAGAGTAAAAGATTAGCCTTGGGCCCTGGCCAGTTTGGCTCAGCGGTTAGTGTGTCAGCCTGCAGACTGGAGAGTCCTGGGTTTGGTTTCCACTAAGGGCATGTACCTCGGCTGCAGTTTGTCCCTGGCCCTGGTTGGGGTCGTGTGGGTAGCAACCAGTCAATATGTCTCTCTCACATCGATGTTTCTCCCAACTCCCCCCCCCCCACTCTATCTGAAGATAAATGCAAGAAAGTCCTTGGGTGAGGATAAAAAAAAAAATAAGCCTTGGGTATTGAACCTTAAATGACAATATATGTTTGAAAGAAGAAAATATATATATTCCTTTCATTCTTATTCCTACAGCTTTAATTTTTCCATTTTATTTATCTGATAGCCATCCAAATGGATAACCTCCAAAAATTAAGATAGCCCACAGCTAATTGTAAAAAGTATATGTCCTCAAAGTATGGCTTCAATCATTCATGTAAGGTTCATAAAACCGCTCTTTAAACAAACATTGTGAAAATGACTGATTAAGACATAAATTCATACGAACCTGCAATATTGCTCTTTCTGGTAACAGTGAAATATCACATACAGGAATCTCACCTACTAAAGAGATTGCAGACAGACTTCGGTCAGGAAAAAGAAAATGTTCTTCAGCATTTCTTTTGTATTTTATCCTGTTTCTCCATTTTCTCAATTGAAGTTCATGTTTTAACAACTGCCATGAAAATAAATTAAAAATTCCATGGAATTATTGTAAGGGTTAAATAAGACGATACAGCACAAAACTTGACACACATAGCACCAATTAAACATTATTACCATCAGTACATAAATTATCATTATCCAGAGCAGGTTTAATAGTGTCTGAACCACTGAAGCATCCTATAGATCATTTCCATTAGCTGTCATATAACATTGGCACAAGCAGCCACCTTGACAATGTGATCCAGCCTCCTCTTTTATAAATAAGAAAGCTGGAGCCCACAGTGTCACAATTCTGGTAACAATAGATCCTGTATTGGGGGCATAAAAGGGAGGTAGTCAGCAGGGAAATAAAAAGGAGAGTCAAAAAGAAAGAATTTGGGGATTTGCTGGGTTTATCATTACAGAAAGTCCCACTTTTAACTTTTCATACAGTCCTGAAAACTGCATACTAAAGGAAAAAGCCTTTAAGGTAAATAAGTGTTTCACCCATTTAAACACACACACACACACACACAGTTTTGGTTTTTCTGTTAATCTTCACTTGAGGATATTTTTTCCACTGATTTTTAGAGAGAGAGAGAGAGACAGAAAGAGCAAGCCAGAGAGACACTATGCTCAGTGTATGGAGATGCTTAAGAGAACAATACTTTCTGCTCTCCGGGATGTTCAGTTTAAGGGGGTATACGGGACAGACTGGTCATGTACAGTTACCTATTTCCCCATTAGACAATCAATGATCAGACATGGGGGTCTGGAGTCAATCAAAACTATTTAAGACACAACGCTGTAGAAAACAGTGAATGAGCAGACTTAAAACTGTGGTACCCACGGTGTAACTGTTTAACTGGCAAGATTAAAAATGTGTCCACAAATATAATGAACTAAACAAACTGCTGAACAAAATTAACCCAGAGACATAGAGGTGGGGTACAGACTGACAAGCCTCAGAGGAGGGGGTGTTTGTGGGGGAAGAGTTAAACCACAGAACTTGCATGCATGACCAACAAAGACAACAAAGCTGGGGTCGGAGCGGGGGTGGGGGGTGTTGTCAATGGGAGAAAAATGGGAAACATCTGTTACAAAAACAAATTAATAAATAATTTTTTAATGTGTCCACAAAAGGCAAATGCTAGATGATATCCTGCAACCAGTTCAATATCAGCGGATAATAAACTTCCAGGGAGCAAGAACTATGCTTTAGACATCTCATAGCCACTTCAGATTCTAGCGCTGTTTCAAGCATTGTATGAGTAGTACATCTTTTCACACTCTCTCTCTCTTTTTTAAATCCTCACCTGAGGATATTTTTCCATTTACTTTCAGATAGCGTGGGAGGAAAGAGAGAGAGAGAGAGACAAAAAACATCGGTGTGAGAGAGACACATGACTGGTTGCCTCCCACAGGACCCCCGCCAGGGCAGGGGACGAACCGCAGTCGCAGTAGGGGCCCTTGACCAGAATCGAACCTTCAACTCCTTGGTCTGCGGGCCGAGGCTCTAACCACTGAGAAACTGGCCAGGGCCATACTCTCTTTTCATAAGTGTGTAGTATCATCAGTCTCAGCATCTGAACCAATTTGAGGTGGGAGGCATTGATCCTGCCTTCCCCAGGGGTAACCACAAAATAGAAGGTTTAATTTCTTCCTATTTTTCTCCTTCCTTTTTATCCCAACTTTATATTTCAAAGAATATTAACAAAACATTACCTACTATACAATGTAACTACAAACATTTCCAGTATGTTTCTATGTCTAATCCCAGGAATTACTGTGAATATTCTAAAACATTAAATAATAAATTACTAGCATAAGCAAACTGGAGATATTTTTAAGTTTGGAAGAGTTTGCTTGCGTCCTCTATTTTAATTGCTTTAATTGTCAGTGGGTATCCCAGTTAAGAATAATCATTTAAGCTTAGCAATTCAGTAATTTTAAAAATAATTTAATACTAAAATGCTAATTTATTAAATTGAATGTTGAAAAGAAATACATAGCAATTTAATCTGATCTAGAAAAATAAATTTATTCTATCTTTATTATTTATTTTTCTAGTATAATCATATCAAATAGTTTCTTTTACATTTTAGATATCAATATCCATCTAAATACTTAAATAAAATTCTTAGTATCTTTATCAATAAATTTAGACAAAATGTTAAAAGACTTTTTCCTTGATGTTTAGACTTGAAATTAAACAACAGAATTTATTAGGAAATCTTCGGGTAGCTGAGGTGAAATTTCAAATTTTAAGTTAAAAGAACAAGGACCCCCCCCCCCCCCCATCAAAAGCACATAATAGTCAAGATTTTAGTATTTTCCACACTTAGCATTATTATCTGAGTCAACATCAGTATAACAGAAAAATTTAGCTTCTAAAAAAATCAAGTTTCCAATATACCATACCAGCTCATCATCTTTCTTTTGGTAGTTATATCTTGCTTTATCCCTCCATTTAGTTAGGATCATTGCTAGCTTGTTAGAGTAGAATATCTGTTGGATCCGCAATAGTGTATCTGAAGAAAATTTATTAGATTACTGTATATAGTTAAAGCTGTTTCCCAAAAAAGTGTTTAATATTCTGTCATGTTTATAATATGAACCAATGTTGCATCTAATAGTTATTGTTTGATTTTAATTACATCTGAAATTAATTCGTTTTTACACAGTAGATAGTACTCCTAAGACTTTATTAACCTGTAAATATCACCTTTTCCTTTAGAAATTAAGATGTAATAAAATGTCAAGAAACATATATAGAGATATATAATTTATTTGTTAAACAAATGTTCTTTATAAAACCAGAACTTCCAAATTTATTCATAGAAACACAGTCATAAGTAGTATGCTGATTTAGTTAAATGCCCTATGATTAAATAGATTGCCCCATATATATATTTTCAACCAGGGGTCCACAGCTCAAATACAGGGCCAGGAAGGTGGATGACCTGGGAACACTACTCACAAACAGCAGTGGCTTCTTTAGAGCCCATTCCCCTTACATTAAAACTTTCAGAGGATCTCCTCTGACAGCAGCCAATCAAGAGGAAATGAGGCCCTGGCCAGTTTGGCTCAGCGGTTAGAGCGTCGGCCTGCAGTCTGGAGAGACAGGGGTTCAGTTCCCGCTAAGGGCATGTACCTCAGTTGCAGTTTGTCCCCAGGCCTGGTTGGGTCGTGTGGGTGGCAACCACTCGATGTGTCCCTTTCACGTCGATGTTTCTCTCTCTCTCTCTCTCTCTCTCTCTCTCTCTCTCTCCCTCCCACTCTATCTGAACAAAATATTGAAAGGTGTCCTCGAGTGAGGAATGAGTCTCTGGTTTGCAATAGCCATAAACAAATCAATATCTGGTGAGCTGCACAAAATATAAGCAAAAGGCTGGAGCTCTCTATCTCTGTTTTTAAGGTCACAGACATGCACTGTCCACTCATTAGAACCATCAAGGGCTTAAGTGAATGAAAATTATTTTTCTTTAAGTTTCCTTGTGTATCCATTAAATGCACTTATCTATAAAGAATTCAGAGCTCTCTACAAAAAAACAGTCAATTTTGGTACCTATCTATAATATACCAACTCTTTAGGATGTAAAAAAAAGCTCATAGCAGATCCCTATCTGTACTTGTATTTGTGTGTACATCACAAAATTACATATAGAATTTTATTTAAAATATGCCTGTTTTCTACTACAAAAAAATGACAACCTTGAGACAAATCTTATTAAATATTTTAAATTAGTGGCTTTATATTTCATAATTCTCTAGACATAAAAATAATAAATTCTCAGTAGAGACAGACTCATACAGAGCAGGCTGACAGGTCTGGGAGTGGGGGGTGAGCAAAAAAGAAAGAACTCATGGACCCAGACAACAGTGTGGTGATTTTGGGGGGGGAGAAGTAGAAGAAGATTTAGGGGCATAAATGATGATGGAAAAATAAAATTAAATATCGTTAAAAATAATAATAATAAATTATTTAGTATAAACTGTGCTCAATTGTTAAGTTTTTTTTATTCTTTGAATACAGGAATACAGAAAAGAATTGTTACTATGTAAGGATTTACCTTTAAGTTGTTTTTTTTGACCTTTCACATAAGAGTGCCAGTGACAAAATATGTATTTTTGAAGTCTGAAATTCTCATATTGTATTGCTTTTTCGATTTTTTCAGTCTTTATATCTTCATTTATATGAGGTATTACTATGTCCTTCCAACTGCTATAGGCAGAAAATAGATAAAATCATATATTAATGTTATGGCAATATACTGCTCAATAAATTGAGAGGGGAAAAAAGTATTACCTCTTTACCTCCTCAAAAACCACAACATAAAAAAACATTGTTAAGTTATTTTTATTGCTTTATTTCTAGGCAGTCCTTGCATTTACTTTGAGCTTGTACTTCCCTTTTCTACATTGCTGAAGCCCAGAAAACTCTTAAATCCAAAAGTGTTTTTCATAACCTATATAAAGGCAAAACTAGACCTGACCTAGAGCCATTTTGCATCAAAATCTCTCGCATCTGACACATGGCTGTTCATATTCTTTCTTCATTTCACTTAGTAAGAATATATATCTGTCTCACTGTAGAAATCCTTATACATTCAAAATATGTTTGGTTCCAATGTGCCACCCCAGACACCACTAAAAATGTTATATAACAAATATGATATATACATAGATTACCTTTCTAAAAAAAATTTTTCTTTAAAGGGATCTAAATTCCAAAACATATCTGGCTCCAAAGGTTTCAGTTAAGGGAATTATGGACCTATTTTTTTAATTTTGGCGTTTTAGTTTTTAAAAAACAAAGTAATACCTTGAAGAAATAAAGAACATATTTTAAGTAAGTATAAACCAATTAAGCATAAAATAAATAAATAATAAAAATGGTGGAGACATGATTAAATAAATAAAATCAGCAAAACTGGCCAAAAGTGAGCTTGTCTTCATATGGAGACTATCAAGAATAAGAACACAACCCTGGCTCGTGTGGCTCAGCGAATTTAGCATTGTCCCATACACCAAGAGGTCACTGGTTCAATTTCTGCTCAGGGCACAAGCCTGGATTGTGGGCACAATCTTCAGTAGTGAGTGTGCAAGAGGCAGCTAATCTGTGTTTCACTCTCTCTCTCAATCTCCCTTCCTCTCACTCTAAAATCGATAAAAACAAGTGAAAAAAAATAAGAACACAAAAAGGAAAAAATAGTATATAAAAATCATGTTCTTACCAAAAGTAGGTCTTTACTAAATGTCCGGTATAAAAAGTACATGCTTTTATCATCAATTCTGGAGTCATCTAAAATAAATAAAATAACAAGCATTAGAAATAAATGCAATGCACAGGCCACCTCTGGGAGGTACATAGGAAAATGAGACCAGTGGTTGCATCTGGAGAGCATAACCTGGCAGTAGGGAGACAGGAACTGACTGGAAGAACTATCTACCATTTACTTATTTGGGAATTTTGTTGTGCATGCCTGTTACCTAGTTTATAAAAGTTCAAATCACAGCTGAAAAATTTCCCATTATAGTGCACTTTAAAGCATTTTAAGGCAAGTACTATGGCATTATTATCAGTTATATTGATAGGACTAGAGTTGTGGGTCTGCTGGTCACTATGTCACTATTAAACTGAATGATTTTGCCTTCTCAAGACTATGAAGTGAGATTTTTCTTTTTTAAAAAAGCATACAGAAATGCCTCGGTTATCAACCAGAAATAGAAAACCATATAAATTTAAAGTCTAAACTGAGGAATACGCTGCAAAAGATGCAAATTTATCATTGGCAAATATTCAGAATAATATACATTAATATGTGGGAAAGGCTAAGGATTACTGAAATCATCTGGACTTCCTGTTCATTCTTTAATATACTAACACATATATTATATGTACATGGTACTGTAAAGTGCTAATGCTGCATGTTTTCTCTTATGTTATTGCCACCCTCTTTACCACAAAAACACAAGCATGTGATCACATCTATTTGGTGTAGGGATGTTTGGTTCAAATCCAACTGTCTAGGATTCTGAATTCTACTTTCCTAAGACAACCCTTTTACACCTTTGCACATTGCTGCAAATCTTTGTTTTAGATACAGCAAGCACAGGTTAATCATGGATTTGTTTCAGGCGCACAACAAAGGCTCTTGGGCCCCTGACAGTGTGCTTTATGTTCAATGACATTTGGAAATCCTCACTTTTGACAGGGATTATATGCAAATTATTCTTGTGGTGAGGGAGAATGTACACCACTGAAGTCATTCTTTACTAAATTCTGATTTGGGGGCATGAGGTAGGAAGAGGAATTCAGATGAGTAAAGTAAGAATACTGGGGCTATCACACTACGGAAGACAAAATAAAAACTGGAATGAGGTGGCAGAGGCAAAGACAATTTCATTTACATTACTATTTTTCAGCACTGCTGTTGGTCCCTCAATTTCTTAAGCCTAAACCTGTCTTTAGACGATAACCTGGAAAGTGCTATATAAATATCTATAATAAATGGCATAGTTCATAAAATATAAATATATTACACAGTCAAATGAATAGTTCAAGACATTATAGTAATAATGACTTTGAAAAGAAAAATTATAATTCAGCCAATAATACTTGAACTTGACCTTTCTAATGATCAACTCTTTAAATCAGCATAAGAGTATTGTTTCTGTTCCATTGTTAAAAGAGATTGTAATTGTAATACTCCTTTCTTTTAGTAGTTCTTTCCCTAAATTCTTGTTTTAATTTCACATATATTGTTCTCCAAGTTAAAAAAACAAACAAAAAAACACTAATAGAATTTAAATAACCATGACTTTTCATCACTGTTGGCACCCTCTTGTTTTCTCCACAGGGAAGCACAGCTTTAAGAGAACATCTCCAAGGGACTGGCTTGCAACAAGAGCTCTAGGCCAGTGATGCCTTGTACCCTGCTTGGGGCTGGGCATGCGTCAATTCCACTGCAGCTCAGCAGCAGCACCTCTAGCCAGTCTGACCATCAGTCACATGCCAGTATACTGGGTAACATGATTTTACTTCCAGTGCTTAGTGTTTTCACCACTGAAAGCAACCATGTGCTTTCTACTCTTCAGCGCTATTGTACACTGGTTAACTGCTTGTGATTGGAAAATATTCTCTGACCTTTTTATTCCAGCTGGCAGTGCATTGCACAGAGCAGGAGCTCAACAAATATGTACAGATTGATTGAATTAGACAACTTCCTGGATGCAGGCTGATTCTCTGCCATGTGGCCACTACAAATGGAAGGTAAAGGATTCGGACAACTTTGTGGGGAAGTTGCTGGATAAGAAAGCAACTTGGTGTTGGTCTAGAGGACCTCAGAGTGAGAGCCCTGTTTCCAGGCCCTCACAAACCACTCACACCACTTTCCCACAAGGGCTGCCACACACAGGCACCTGCTAGTTACTCCAGAAGACAGCAAGGGGTGGAAGATGCATCAGCATATGGTTTATGAGAATTCAATTATTTTGTAACATTAGTTTCTACTCAGGTAAGGAAAGGCATTGCCCCACTTTTGTAGCACACACAGCACAGTGCCATCAAATCTCACGTGACTTCACATTTTAAAAAATTGAAAGAATATAATAAAAATATTACAAAAGGCTTACATTATGACAAATTTTGAATTACAATCCCTCAAATTAAAATTTTATCAAGAAGCACTTCATTTCAAAGCTGGTGGCTAAATGAATGGAAAGTTTTAAGTTCTTCCCACACAGTGGTACTATTTTGGCAGATAAAACAAATTGGGCTTCAGTCTTGAAGTGCAAGTTTGAGGTAGAAGTCTTCATAAAAGTATCTTTGTCAAAGTGATTACTGGGTATGGTTTGAGTAAAGAGTCCAGAGAAAGGAGCACTATTTTGGCATCTTAAAGATTTGTGACTGAAGAAGCCTGGAGTGCCAACCTCAGACATCAACGCTCCTAGGAAGTCCAGAGCAGCAGCATAAGGCTCCACCTTCAGATGGCTTTACAGGTTTGGGACAGAGACACTGAAGGGGAATTCTTGAATTCACGTGGGATGGCTTGGGGATTCCCAGAAACAACTGGTTAGAATTTTAAGGGGAACCAATCTCCTGTATTATGGAGACTGGGGCAAGCAGAAGTGAAATTTGGAATGTTACTATCAATACTATTTTACTTGTATCCCAGGCTGAGACCTGGGGAAATTTTGTGATAAATGAAAGGAAAATGAAATACAATTAGAAATCATGAATGCTAACTTACAGATACTGAATTTATGGTTATTTAATGTCAGTAGTAATTTGTCCCATTAATTTTTAATTTTGTAAGATCTGTGTGCATTTAGTGTACATGAGGAAAAAAGTTTACTTCTATAGCATTTGAGGTATCTAGCATAACATTAGAAATCTGGTAAGACTCAAATGAAAAATAAATGTAAGTTGTTGATCACCACTAAACTGGCATTACAAGAAATGTCAAAGGGAAATCTTTAAACTGAAAAGAAAAGGCAAAACTAGAAATAAGAAAGTATATGAAAGAAAATAAAATCTCACTAGTTAAGGCAAACATACAGTAAAGGTAGTAGACCAACTACTTATAAATCTAGTATAAAAACAATTAAAATTTCAATAAATACATACCTATCAATAATTATTTTAAATGTAAATGGACCAAGTGTTTCACTCAAAAGACAAAGGGTGACTGAATGGATTAAAAAACAAGACCCTTACATAGGCTGCCTATATGAGACTCACTTCAGATCTAAAGACACACATAGACTGAAAGTAAAGGGATGAACAAAAAGATACTTAATGAAAATAGAAATGGGGAAAAAAAAGCTGAGATGGCAATATTTATATCAGACAAAATAGACTTTAAAAAAAAGTGTAGACTCTGGCCGGTTTGGCTCAGCAGGTAGAGCATTGGCCTGAGGACCAGGGAGTCCCGGGTTCGATTCCAGCCAAGGGCATGTACCTTGGTTGCAGTTTGTCCCCAGCCCTGGTTGGGGTTGTGCAGGTGATAACCAATCGATGTGTCTCTCTTAGATCGATGTTTCTCTGTCTCCCTCTCTCTCTCCCTCCTTCCCACGCTGTCTGAAGATGAATGTAAAAATATCCTCTGGTGAGGATTTAAATAAATAAATAAATAAATAAATAAATAAATAAAAACAGAGGCTATAACAAGAGACAAAGAAGGACCCAGCAATTCCACTTCTGAGCGCTTATCTAAAGAAAATGAAACACTAATCCAAAAATATATAAGCTCCTCTCTGTTCACTGCAGCATTATTTACAACAGCCATGATATGGAAGCAACCTATGTGTTCATCAGTATAGGAATGGGTAAAGAAGAAATGTGTGTGTGTGTCTGTTTGTATGTGTATGTAAGTAATATTACTCAGCCAGGATAAAGAATGAAATGTTGCCACCATTTGTGACAATTAGAGGGCATTATGTTAAGTGAAATAAGTCAGAGAAAGACAAATACTGCATCATTTCACCTATACGTAAAATCTAAAAAACTAAACTAATAAAACATACTACTCATAGATATAGAAAAACTGATAGTTGCCAGATGGGTGGGGAGATGGGCTAAAAGGTAAAGGGAATTAAGAGGTACAAACTTATAATTATAACATAAATAAGTCACAGGGATGTAAAGTACAGCAGAGGGAGTACGGTCAATAATGTCACAATAACTTTGTACAGTGACAGATACTGGACTTTTCATGATCATTTTGTAAGGTATATAATGTCAAATCACTATGTTATACACCTGAGACTAATATAATATCGTATGTCAACTATACTTTAATTTAAAAGTGCTCTACATTCCAGAATGAAAAAAATAAATGTAAATCATTAACTTCATATTACAATTTTGGAATTTTAGCATATTATAAAAATTTTTCTTCTGGGGGCAATTCCTTTTTTGGCTCAATTAACCCCTGAATTAAGAAATTATATATTCATTTGTCTTTAGATATTTCACCATATTATAAAGTACCATGACTTTACATCATTCATGAGCTTTATTAACATCCCACATAATGCTAGCAAAAGTATGAGGTTTGCTATAAACTGAATGTTTGTGTCCCTAAAAATTCATACGTTGAAACCTAATCCCCAGTGTGATAGTATTTGGAGGTGAGGTCTTTCGGAGATGATTAGGACACAATGGTGGAGCCCTCATGAATGGGTTTAGTGCCTCTGTAAGAGACCCCAGAGAGCTCCTTCACCCCTCTGCCATGTGAGGTTATAGCAAGATGTGGCAGTTTATGAACCAGGAAGCAGCCTCTCACCAGACGCCACATT